GAGGAATCGGGCCCCTCGCCTGTCTGGAAATGAAGTTTTAAAAACGAATTGAACTAATGCAACGCGAATTCGCACGTCCGCCGCCGCCTAGACATGACCAGATGACATTTACCTCCGTAATAGTGGGTCGTACACATACATAATATTATATTTTTATATACAGGGTGATTTTGTTTTTTTTTGAACCGGGCGTCATCTTATTAGGGCGAGGGGAACAATGTTTTTCTTCATTCCGTTTTTCTCATTGTTGTATCCAGTTATACTCCAGGAGGGGTGATCCCCCAACAGGAATATCATTCACTCCCTCCTCCCTGACAAATACAAAATAAATGTCAACAAAATGTATTTATCAAATGTACAATACCGGTTACGATTTTATTATATTGTATTATTATTATCAATGAACACACCTTCCAGCTACCGGTCACACAGTATTTTACATCTAACTACCTTAGACTTACCAATAAAATACATACAATTAATTTACAACAATGGCTCAATAACGAAGAGGTGCAATGAAAAATGTTGAGACAAAACACATTAGTATATTGGGTCAACCTCAGAAGTTTGTCGAAAAGGCTATCGATTTGTATGTAAAAAATAAAAATCATTTCATTAGATTAATTTTAAAAATAAATAATATTTTTGAATAAAATATTTATATTATAATAACACGTTGACTTTCAAATATCAATTAATGTATAATTTAATTAACTGTAATAACTTACTTATCAATAAGTAATAATAATCTATTTGATATTACTAAAATGTATGACGTATGAGTCCCCTCCACCAGAAAAATTGTCTGGTTTCAGCACTTAGTTTTACGTCTTGTTTTATTTTCCAACTGTTGATGGCCTAATAGCGTTCTTTTGATTTTTTGCAATTATTATTCAAACACGTAGATTTTACCGTCGAACGTTTAAAATTCAAAAAAAATCGAACTACGCTTCACGGTATACCTAGTATAATATCTCCCAGCTCCTGGTAACCAAAATATAAAAAAAAAATCACTCTGTATACTCATCGAGTGGTACGGACAACAACTATAATACTGGTGCAGTGTCCTCCTCCGGTGGTGTGCAGAACAAAGATAACATTACACAATGTTTACTTTGAATGGCGTTTTGGCCGAACGCAAAAACCGACGACACCACGATTAACGATAACGGAATTTGATAACGATAATTAAAATCGCGACCCTCACAAAGTCGCACAAAAGCCGACACAACTTCGCACTGTTGTAACACAACACAACACACATGTAACATTGTAATACGTTGTTGATGCGATGCATACATGGAAGGCTTTCGAATATAATGTTTTGCGTTCATGTATTATCATAATGCGCCCAAGTGTGATGATGTGTAGGTATATATGCGATAAAATATTATGTACACAATTCTACGATACATTATTATTATGGACAAAATAACGTCATGACACAATATAATAATAATAATATAGTCGCGCTCTACACGACGTGTTTCAAATCGAACATTTTTTAGTGAACGAATTCATATTGTTTGCTTATTCGTTTTATTTCCCCTCGCCCGACACACGTCGCACGTAATACATATTATTCGGACGTCGGAGTCTGGACGATTTAATCGCCAACGATTTAATACCTATACGTTTCGAACAGGTTATCCTCAGAAAACTGCCACGATGCCGCCGCCGCCGCCGCCGCAGTGGTATATGTGTCTGAATCAGCAAAAACGCACGAATCGTCGGTTCTATTGTCTGCGGGAGGTGGGAGATTTTAAATATATATTCACGAAAAGACCTCAGAGAGAGTATAAAAAAAAATAGGTCGATCGTTTGTTCGATGGTAAATACAAAAATTAATGCAATCAATCCAGGGGCGGACCGGACTGGCTGGCCATAAAAAAAAAACCCATTTTTGTGGTTAACTCATCCTGACCAGACTGAACAATTTCCTGGCCTGAAATATTGTCCCTGAATCAAACATCACATTCCAATAGTTATACATATTTTAATAATTATTTAATCACTTTTACGATAATCGATGTGATACATTTGAATTCAATTATATATTATCATTGCGTACAAATAAGTAATAACTAACTAAGCAAACCCTATATTATTAAGTACATTTTATGATATTTTTATATTTCGACTATTGTAAGTTACTTTACAATATTAGTGATACGGCAGGTTAAGTTAATGTTTGCCAAAAACATCGCATTTATTACATTATTAATTCATTATTATAATAGTATAATATACCTATTCATAATATTATACATATTATTATTACAAGTATTTGAGTCAATATCGACTTGAAATAAAGGGTATAAATAGGTGTACGGTATAATAATGTCATTTAAGAAGTCGTGGGCATACCTACCTTAAAAATTATTTAAATATTCTGGAAATTTTAATTCTGTATAATTAATAACAATATAGGCAACGAAATATAACAATAATAATATTATATTACATCGTATATTATTATATAATATTATATAATAATATAACGAAAAATGTCAAGTAAATAGGAATGATATTAATGATAATGAATGATTCGTTTACATTTTCGATTCAGTCGATTTTGAACTTGAAATGTCAATAACAAAATATATTGTGCATATTATGTATTTCTTAGATTATTAGGTTTATGCAATAACTACTTAAGAGGAATCTTCTAATAAATGTTCAAGCCATTGATTATAAAACTGAAAATTGTATACATTTTCAACCACAAAACAATTTTCAAAATATTATGTTCGTGGTTTTAACGATTTTTGTAATGACTTTAAATGGTTAAAAAAAATTGTTCTTATGTAATTTTGATATTTATAAACTGCTGTAAAAAACAACTTATTTTGTATTAAATTTTCAAGCTTTATTGTCATTTATATCAACATTTTTAGAAAAACGAAGGAATATTTCAAAATATCATTGTGTTTAGCAAAATATAATTTAATAATGTAAGAGGAATGTTGCCAGTTTCTGCGATTAATATTTTTTTAATTATAACAAAATATCATAAATCGTTATTTTACGGGTGCATGTTTATTGACAACAAGTTTTCACAGACGTTCATAAAAAATAATATTGTACATTTATACGCTTAAATTTTTAAGTTTTGAATGATGAACTTATTGATTTTACAATGATGTGAGTATGTTTCTTTTATAGGTAAACACGATTAATTAGAAAAAAAATTCTTGGATTTTAAACTTCGATGTCTTTTCTGGTGGGAAGTGAATATGGTTCGTACTTTCCAATATCAAAATTAAAAATTTCTAATTATTGTAGAGTTATTTATAGACATTTGCGATTTTTTTAGTTTTTTTCTTTAAATATTTATAAAAATTGTAGCTAGGTCAAAAAACTTGAAAATGTATTACAAGGTTCCTCATAATTGGATATTATAGCTATTGAAAAATATTAAAAACAAACTACACTCGAAACAAGCTATACTGCTAAACAGTTACCTGTTTGCCTCCTTTTTTTATAATTTAACTGTAAAATAATTTTTCCATGAACTTTGATGGCTTTTGTAGAAATTTAAACTAAGGGTAGTATAAAAAAAAATGTTTGGCTTTATATTTTCTGTAAGAAAATCTCTACCAAAAGTTAGAGGGTATAAAGTGTGGTGGGCCTCTTCACGCGATTCATGTTTTGTACCATCAATTTTTTTTTTCTATCAAATTTACTTATTGTTTTATATAAATATTACAGATTGTAAATATACTCTAGTTTTACCTAATAAAAAAAAAAAAAAAATCTCACTAGAAACCTTGTAATAAATTTCAAGGTTTTTTTACTTACAAACAAAAATGTAATCATACATAAATCGGAAAAAAGCATAAAAAATCGAATATTTATAAGTATTACAAAAAGATCAAAAATATTTGGATAATTACTATCATTATCATAATATTATCATGTCTCATAGAAATACTTATATTAATATCAGGATTCTACATTTTCGAATCTTTATGGTTATTATTTTTTTTTTGTCATGACAAAAATAATCGGTTTTGTCCAAAGTGGGGCTTGCATAAAAATTCCCGTTTTCCCTCATTTTATTTTTATTTTTTCTAGATTATTTTTAAAAGTTGTGGACATTTTTACTATTTACCTACCAAAACTTGAATTGATTTGATACCAGAAACCGCTCTTGATGTTGATGATCGAAGCATTTTTCTACTATTAAACGTGCACACATACCTACACAAATACTAAATACTAAATAGAAACAATCACACATCATTACCAAGGCATTTATCGATGTATAATAATATATCGCTACTCTCAGAATCTAATATGCAACTGTTCTGACTCGAATATATAAAAATATGTCATGATGATTACAAGATTGTGTAAAGATCATCGAGTAAAAATATATATAAATTAGTATATTACCGATTAACGACCGTAACGGCAGATTATTGACTGTGTACGATATTTAAAATATACTCGAACGCACATCATCAACCTTACACATTCGTCTGAGCGGGTTTGAATGCAAACGAGTCGTAAAACAATATCGCATGACAACATATTATTATTACACCGAAAGAGTGTGGAATTCGGTCACAGATTCCGAAACCTCACTACACTCGGCCCGCGCACGGACGGTCCCCTATTTCGTTATACTTTCGAATATATTTTATATTTTACACCAAGTCTTCGGTGTGCCCACGTCCAAAAGGTATACACACACATTATTAAATTATAATATTTTAATATGACTATGTATAGTGGGAAATTATGTGATCCGAGGTCACCGTGAATGCAATGTTATTCCAGATTTTGACATTTGCGACGAGCAGCAACGATGACACAATATCATACACCGGTACCGGTTCGCGACATTGTCACCGACCGGATTATCTTCGTTTTTTTCACCACCGCACATCGAGTCTGGGGGTACTCGCCGTACACCCGCAAACGTATATATAGTCGATGGACCGAGCTCAATAATCATCATTCAACCGAGCACCTTCCAACCATCGACATTCAACATGATGAAAATCGTAAGTACCTACCTATATGCATAAAGATTTCATAACGATTCATAACACTGTTTGTTACCTGTACACTCTGCGGTAACATAATATCGATTTTTTGACTTAAAAACAGTAAACCGATAGTTCTTGTGACACTATGATATTATTATACAGTCGATTTTGCCATATGTTAACCGTATATTGTTTGCGTGTGGTTTCAGACAACAGCCCTCGTTGTATTGGCAGTCGTAGCCCTCGTCAGGGCCGACGCGTCCAAAGATGTTAAGAAGAACACCAACAAGAGATCCGCCTTTGGATTCGGCCAGTCCGGTCTGGGCTACAGCTCGGGTCTCGGTTACGGTTCCGGTCTGGGCTACGGTTCCGGTCTGGGCTACAGCTCCGGTCTGGGCTACAGCTCCGGTCTGGGCTACAGCTCTGGTCTGGGCTACAGCTCCGGTTTGAAATACGGATCCGGTCTGGGCTACAGCTCCGGTTCGGGATACAGCTCCGGTCTGAGCTACGGCTCCGGTCTGGGATACAGCTCCGGTCTGAGCTACGGCTCCGGTCATGGATTGTCATCCGGTTTGGGATACTCCAGCGCCCCAGCTCCGACCACCGGTCCTCTCATACCGATATCCAAGGAAGTGCACATCATCAACCGTCACGCTCAACCAGTGTCCGCCCCGTACCCAGTGCCAGTTCAACACGACGTGCCAGTCGCTGTACCACACCCAGTGCCATACGCAGTTGACAGCCCATACCCAGTCAACGTACCTGCCCCATACCCAGTGCCGGTCGAAAGGCCAGTCCCATACGCAGTCGACAGGCCAGTTCCTCATCCAGTGGCATCGCCATACCCAGTCCCGGTTGTCCGTGACGTCCCCGTGCCCGTGTCCAAGCCATACGCAGTTCCAGTAGTCAAACAAATCCCAGTGCCAATTGCCAGCCCAGTCGTCGTACACGAATCAGCCCCTCTGATCACATCCAGTTACAGTTCTGGCCTCGGTTACGATTCCGGATATGGTTCCAGTTACGGCTCCGGTTACGGACTATCATCCTACGGCTCCGAAAGCCTATACGGTGGATCTCTGGGATACAGCAGTGGAGATCTGTCTTCATACGGTCACGGACACAGTTTCGACTACAAGAAGTAGAACACTCGTAGCGACTCCACCCCAGCCCAACATCCCCGAATCTACTAGATTTTTCTTCTATACCGTGTATACATGTATTTTTATAGACAATTTTTCTTTATATATTTTAAATGTTGTTAGTAACTTTTGGTTATCAACTAAAATAAATAATTTTTTTTTTCATTATTTATGTGTTTGTCGTTATAACTCCAAGTTACTAATCTTATAATTTCCTAGAAAAAAACTATTAAATTATTATTTTTATTTTAAATATTGTTTTTCCGATTAAAATATGAAAGACTAATATTAGTTATTTGAAAAGTATTTCATTTAACCAGTGTTGAATATACTTTGGTTATGAATATAATTTGGCAATTTCAATAACTTACATTGTTTCTACAATAAAACGTGTACCTACCTACATTATTATTTCATTTAAATTTCAAATATTTCATTATAATTCATTTAAATTATTTTTAAGACGGGTTTTTAATATTTATTTTTATAGAAAATTACATTTTTAAAGCTAATTAAAAAAAAAAAAAAATTTGAATAATCTCCTTAAATTTGGATTGTATTTTGAATATATTGACGATTTTGAATTTCTAGACCATTTAGTTATAACTTATTATAATTAATGCATATTTTGATTGTCTGCAATAGATAAGTGTATGCATATTATTATATTTTAAATTATGAATCAATTAATAATAAGTAATCAACATTATTCTGTGCATAAAGATTTAAGTAAAACTTAACTCCTCGTGCACCACAAAGAGTTCGGTGTCAAAAGATATATGTACCTCTATTCGTGACATAACTCTCGTAGCACATACAAATTGAGTTAACACTAAACGCGCATTGAAATAATACATTCGATAATACAAATTGACTTATATCTTTTGACACAATATACGTAGTTCTTTTTCTGCATTTTTTTATGTAAATAACTCATTTTACACAAAATGTTGACTTGACCTCTTTTTCACGCTCAACCGCTATATTAATGCACATATTAATTTCTCTGGTATTGGCGGACACAAATAATGGGAAACAAAAGTATCGTTTTTAATTTATTAATTAATTTAGTTTCTTATTACAATGAATATTATATTATTATAGATATTGTTAGTAAATATTTATGAAGCACAATTTTGGTTACGAAATTAATATCTTTATTTATCAGTTTATTATTAGTAATAATGATAGGTATTAGGTAGGTATTATAATATTATTATTTTGTAACTTGACGATATTTTTCGATTAACAAGTTCACGAGAATTATACCCAATAATAACGGAATAATCTTATATATATTAAAAATCAATAATTATTTAGAAAAACGAAACAATTTCTGTTCATCCCACATAATAATATGTAACCTAATATACAACCCACCATAATATCGCAACTCGCGAGGACTTCATAAACCTCGGCACGTCATGGTGGTAGGTAACCAATTTATCCGTAGTGGAGTTTCAATAGCTGTGTGTGTGTGGGTTTTTTTATTTTAAACACTGATTAGTTGGAGTACAAGCCGGGACCTACCGACTACAACAGTTGGAAATTTTATAAATTACATTATTCAATTTAAGTGTGTTTTTTATGCATAATATTATTAATTTTTACCTTCCCTCGTACAAACTGTATACATTTATAATAAAAGACTTTTTTTCGTCTCGTGTTTCGTCCCGTTTATCAACACACATATTTTATTGCCATAAATAATTAAACTTTGATGATGACATAGATTCTCGGTTACACCTAAATATTATGAAACAACAATAAATTGCGGTTAAATAGTTCACGCGATACGCCGCCATTGCGCATTGATCTCACCAAAATAATGTAGGTACATCGTACATATTATAATATGTATACCTATTATATGGATTAACTGTTTAGGTAATACAATAATACACTAGTTGACATCAAGTACACAATATAATATAGTAATACATGTGAAGATCGTAATATGGACGACTGCTATAGATAGCATGGGAACCTTAAAATCATATTTTGATTTTTCTAATTTGTAGAAAGTATACGCCACACCCGCATTACATGTGTCTCCGCCTTACAAGTTCATAACATAGCAAATTTACGCTCAGCAGAACACGTAGTTTAGCTCCTTTAGTTTAAGCATTAGAGTGAATCGACATATTATGAAACTTGTTGTTTTTTTACGATTATTCAGTTTTTGAGTGAGTTATGAGCATTTTTAATTTACTCTATACTATAATAGACGCATAACTTGCTAAGAAACTAAATAATCGTAAAAATCCGAAAATACGAACACTTATAATGTTCTTACCATCAAGTTTCGTAATAAGTCGATTCACTTTAATGTTTAAACCAACGGAACTAAACGTGATCTGCTGTGCATAAATTGTCTATGTTACGCACTTGAAAGACAACGAAATTTAAAAGTAAAAATATTATCTAGGCCCTAGATTCTAGGGCTTCTCGGAGGCTCTTATTGATATTTTTATTAAGAAGAAAGTTATGACCATTTTCAAACTGTACATTTTTTGTATATTTAAAAATGATCATAACTTACTTAAACATATTAATATCAATTAAGTCTTCCGAGATCATCTAGATAATATTCTTACCTTTACATTTTATAAGAGTTAAATTCACTATAATTTTAGAAATTACAGAGTAAAATGTGTTATTGTGAACCTTAAAATTTGCCCTGATGTACGTTTGTAAGACGGAGACAATACATTCCCGTGTGGCATCCTCTTAACCGACATTATCTATACCAAATGTATTTATTAAATAATTAAATTAAAACTATTTGATATTTTTTTCAAATCTGAAGTGTTTTAAAATGCTTAAGAATTGTAAGATTTTACACACTTAAATGCAATTTATCGCCCTGAAAACTGTTGTAGTGTAAGAGCAATAATAGTATTATGACTAGAACTTAGATGTTGGAAGGTATTATCTTTTTATTGGTCCGATTTTAAGCTGGACTAGCTATACAATAATTATTGTACAAAACTGTGTAAGATTGATAAACAAAATTTAATTTTGATTAGTTAAATTTTGCTTTGGTCTTAATATTAATTATTTACTTTTAAATTTCTATATTTGATTTTATATAAAATGTGTTATATATATTTAGACAAAAACGTTTTTAGAATATTTTAAAGGTTACTTGGGGGACGGGGTGGCCGAGCGGAGCAAGGCGACGCAGCCGGCCAAGGTTCAATACTGACCGTGGGCGGCATTTTTCTTCGGGCAAGTCATGGTGTCGGGAGAACAAGTGCCGCCATCCCCCACCCGGGGCATGGCAGAAACCTTCCGGTGCCCTATTAAAATTCTGCCACAACACACACACGTGTAACAAACCTATCCAATATAAAAACTCACAGTTCCATCCCCACACCCAATGGCCTATGTTGCCACGGGTTATCTAATAAAAGTAGAAAAAAAATAAGGTTACTTGTTTTTGTTATACTATAAATTCTTCGGGAATGCATCCCAATTAGTATTATAATATTTTAATATTTTCGATATGATACGGATAATAAAATATAATATACATGTCGTAGAAATAAATAAATAATATGATTAGGTAAAAAGTATAATTTAAAGTAAATTTTCACATAACTGTGCAGGTAAAAACATCATATACGAGTTGCCCACATAGTATATTTTGTGAATTTTTTTTTAAAATTTATCATGTTTTTTTAAAAAAATAATTCTAATATAGGTACTTTTTTGTTGTTACGTGTTACATTTATGTGCTCTGCTTATATTATAGAGTAGGTATACTACATTTAATTAATACACCAAAATTAAAGCGTCACCAAATAAGTTTGAAAAATATATATTTTTATTTTTTGCTTTATTTTGTTTTAAATATTTTTTTTATAATTTATAGAGTTAAACAAGTGTCACAACAGACAAACTCTAATATTATGGGTGTGTATATTTTGTTGTAAAAAAAAATATTCTTATATTTATGGTTAAAATTTTTTAATATTCAATACATAGAATATTCGTTAAAATAAAACAGAATAGATAGAAGAATCAGACAGATTCTTCTCAATATTTCAGAGAGCACATGCTCACAAAAAGGTTAGGGACTACTGGTTAAGAGACGATAGGGTTTAATAAAACCTTTATTTTTTTTTTATATATTCAACAATATCTTTATTATAGTGTTTAGGAACCGATTAGTTTGAGATTGATTAATTTGTTTCTGCAAAGAGTTTAGCTCTAATTTATAATTAATTTTCTTAATATCTTCTCGAGGTCCAACCCATGATAAATTGTATTTTATACGCGAATATCTGCAATTTCTTGTACCTTGCTAGGCCCTAATTTTAAAGTTATTTAAACTAGACCTAGACAAAGTAATAATATAATTTGAGCTTATGAAAGTGCACCATAATATATTATATTACATTTATAGTCCCAAAATTTAAAACTTCTACATATTATATTACTATAACAATTGTGATGATTCTTATTTTTATGTATATTCCTGGTTTTTGGTGGCCTTGTTGTAAGTACGTTTGGGTGTGGGAAGGGGAAATCGACTATCGAAAAACGGAAAAGTTTTTTATTTTTATTTTCCAAGCCATTGTTTTTGACACTGAATATAATGCGTAGGTAGCGAACTACTTATACATATTGTACCGGTAGAAAACGGTCATGCACGCAAAAAAACGGAACAGTAAATGCATCACGAGGCAAGACGACACACGTTAAAATTGAACTTGTTACCGAAACATACATGCAATATCTTACACAATGCAGGCACGTGTTAAAAGCCACTTTGATAGGTTACAAACGGCCTAAATATATTAAAAAATATAATATGTAAATGTAATAACTAATAAGTTACATTAATATAATATTATACGAACGCCGCATAGAGTACAGTGAATCGCAAACAAGTATACTTATAAAAAAACATTTTGATATGTGTGTGTGTCGAAATTCTTATTTTATTACAATTTTATAGCGACACCGCCACAACAGCTGAGCGTACGTATAAACCT